ATGATATTTATAAAGCCCTATATAGCAGCTTCAGTGAACACTGAACAATTCTTTCGGCAATAGGTAGGAGAATAGCTAGGTGCCATATATGCATAGATATAAAGGCAACAGTTTCATTAATTAAACTTTGAAGAAGGAAAGAAGGGAAAGAGAAGAAAAAGTATGAGAAAGACATGTCAAAGTCCACTTTTGTTGTGTGATCGATGGGAGAGGAATTGAAGAAAAGGAGAGTGGGGTCCAAAATTGTCATCCCCCTTTGACAAGCGAATATATTGAAGGTGAAAGACCACCATCCCCTCCTAAAGAATGTACCGTGCAGTTTCCACCACCTACACACCCAAACTCAACCACCCCCACCCCCTCAATCAATTGAAATTATTTGAATTGACAGCCTCTTTGCTCTTTGTGCATACTTTTAATAATGGATGTCTATAAAAACCCATTATTCCCCATTCTAGTTGTCCTTTTTCTATTTTTCATTCCAATAATTCCGAAAATCCTGTAACGTAAAGTCTCACAAAAATCAAATGAGAAGAAAATGGGTAAGTTATCATGCTTATGAAACTTCATCTGAAGGAATTGGAGAATGTAACACACGCGCGGCTCTGAAGGAAGAGACGAAGAAGTGATCCAAATGTATTGGCTAAATCAACAAATGGGTAAGGGAAAGTCATAGCGATCATGCGTTATTACAATTGACACATGGAACAAAGTTGTACGCTTTGACGTTGACATGTGAATGTGAGCATTGAGAGAGAGATGGTTGAGCAGCAGCAGAAGTGTGGTGGTGTGGCAATGGTGGAGAGATGTGAAGTGTGATAACCTTATTATGGCCCATTCCTCGAAAAGAGAATAATAAATACAAAGGGGGGGCAGAAGGATACAGTACTTTTTTGGCAGAACAGAAAAGAGGGTCCTGATTTGAGAGGTGAGGAAATGATTTTGTAATCGATTGCTTTATGATTGATGAACTTTGAAAAGTATTCATTTGACACAGAGAGAGAGAGAGAGTGGAGGAAAAAGCCCTCTTTTTTCTCAATCCAAAGCTGCTTATTTTTTAACTTTCACTTTTTCAACTCTGACATGTCAAGGCAATTGAACAGAGAGGGGCACTATTAATTAGTAGTTTACAGAAAACGCAGGGTATGCATGGCTTGGTTGGCTTGATTAGTGCAGTGCTTTTGGTACTCTGCTGTGCATAGGACAGATTGGTGGCCCTTTTAATTACATGTTTCACTCAAATTTTCACTCGAAAAATCCTATAGTCAAGGAAGAGGGAGAGAGCAGGGGGTGGAGAGAGAGAGAGGGTATGTTTTTGTAATTTTACATTGTGGGCGTGTGTGGGTGTGTGCATGCATGTGTGGGGTTGGAGTGGGATGATAGACTGAGGTTTCACATCAAAGCCCTGTTAAGGGGCCTGAGAAGCGAGGCTGACATTGTCCTTCACGAAAGTCGCTGACTCTATTGTCAGCTCCGCATTTAAAGCGCGCTCTGTTTCTGCAATGTCCAAAGCACTTTGTATCTTTGCACCGTATATCATGCCATTTATACTGCCATTCTATATCTCCTTTTCTACTTTCTTGATTCATGGTTTCCCTTGAAGACCCAAGTTTTATTTTATTGGTGTTGCACAGTAATATCACATCGCAAGAAATCAGAAGAAGCTAGATTTAGCGTAGACAGGTTTTATGGCTAATCTTGGAAAAAAGGGCTGCAAACTCTCAAGGGCTAATTTCGGTTTTCTTTATGACTGAGATTTGAACATTCTGTAATTAACAGAGACATGAGATTTTCAACATAGATTTGACTTGCTAATGATTGCGCCTGCTATAACCCGGCCGCTACGGCGCGTTAACTTCTAAACAAGTTTCTGCGGAAAAAAATCCAGTTCTTGTTTTCTTTTGGCCTTCCAGTTTATGTGCCAGAAGAGGAAAAGGATGTTCAATTAAATTTATCTTCTGGATACTTCATCATGGTGGTGGAATGGGATAGAAGACGAAGCAAAATGGTTACTTGGTTGGACGTGTCTAGCTTCAAGGTTGAGACCTCGTCAGCTAGTACAACTATATTATTGAGGTTAGGGTTTGATCCCCAAGTGTTTGTGTTGTGTGATAGGATGAAAGGCGTGCACACCCAGCTTGCTTGAATGGATTTGGCACCACATAATCCTTAGGGAAGCTAACTTAAGCAAATATAAACTCGAGTTACTTTGTGGGATGGACCTTCTTGTATGTGGTCCTTTACGCGCGGTATTAATTTTACAACCCAGAAAAGCTTAACAAAGAGATATGTTCTTACTTGTCTGCTCGATCCTAAACCAATCCTTTAAGATATAATGGGGACCAAGCAGGTAGAAGAGATGGAGTGGTCCAAGCCTTTGCTGGACCAGACCCAACAAAAATAACTGGACTCAGAAGGTTCCCATAAGCGTCTCATGCCACCAAGACCACTCTTGTCAGTCTCCATTACTTATCTATATCTTGCAGGGTCATCTCAGAAAAAGGTTGGGAGATGTCCTTTGGTATATACCAGCTAGGGGTATATCTCTAAATACCTACATGCTTAGTTGAATGACTAACTCTTCAGGTTGTTGGGAAAATTTAATACCATCAACGAACAATTTCTACCATGTGTGGTCAGGAGGGACTATATATATACTGCAATAAACAGAAGAGAATGGAATAAGGCATAGGGCTGGCATTATTTGACACAGTCATTCGTATATGTTTCAATGGGCTCTTGCTGCTATAGGGTGTACGACTAGAAGTATGGTCCAGAGTATGTGAGGCTTATATGAGTAGTAGGGTTTGGTTCCCGAGGAACTACTATGTCCAATCCCTCTCCCATTCATCAATATTTCTTTTCATTATTTTGTTTCCCTTTTCTGAGAAATGAACAGTGTGTTCCCCCCACATAGCTCAATCCCCAATTCCTTGATTTCTCTTTGGAGTCCATGAAACTCGTTTAGGCATTTGAGCAGGCACAACGCCTGCAAGACTATGAGTGACAAATTATTGTTGAACAGTAGGTATCGAAAGAAAATTTACGTAAAGCATCATTGAGTCAGGTAAAACAAAAATCAAAACCAAATACAGAAGAGTGGAGAACAACTTATAATAAGTTCGTCCAAAAAAAAAAAACCAACCAAAAAAAGTATGAAGTACTAGTATAAACCATTAGTGAAGAATCGAAGCATTTATGAAGAAACCAACACCAGTAATCATCACTTCAACTATTAAAAGACGACCTCAATACTTGCCTAATTCAATCCCGAAAATCTTTCGTTCATCATCTACTCCACATTTGTCACAGCACACCAAAATTTTGAAGATTTTCGAACTGTAATAATTAATTCCTACGTACAAATATGCTACAAGTCAAACACAGAATTCCTATAATTTAGCGGATATATATAAAATATCCTGATCAATTTTCCTTTTTAAACAAAATGCAATTCAAAATTATAAAAACTGGCCATGAAGTTGGATCCATTTGTTCCGGACAGTTTTCTTTCAGTGATGAACACACTTCCTCATAGGCCTACATTTTGAGCAAAACAATATTAAACAAAATAAAATTACCAAGGTACCCTGCTGAAATTTCCCCAGTTTTCCCAAAATAAGAAAAAAAAGTTGGGCAACGTCTCTTGTTAAAATTTTTATTGATAAAAAAAATATAAATCAAAATATTTTGTGTTGACAAAATTTGCAAGGTGCCAGTACTTCTTATGTATAAAAATTTAGCATGTTCCTATCACCAATAAATTTTTTAATAGGAAAATTTTTGGCCAATTTTTTAAAATTAATGCAAGTCTTTTTTTTTTTTAATATATCACCGTCCAACTAAGTCTGATTCAAGTATCGTTGGATCCTGTTGGTAAATACTCCCTTCAGTTCTTAATATAGAATCTAATTGTTGAATTAGTTTTGATCCTAAATATAAGACCCATTTCTCATATTTATCAATTTTCTCTAAATTACCCCTATGGATACTCCCTCAACCATAATTAAGTAAAAGAGGGAGAAGTGGTATTAAGAAAGATGATTATGGTGTTTTAGAAAAAACGTATCACATTTCTTATAATTAACTATTTTACTTAATTTTTTTAATCTAATCAAATTAGTTAAATAGTTTATATTAAGGACCGTGGTAATTTTTATGGTCTTTGGCAAATTTTTTAATTATAATATGTTATGCTAAAAAAAAAATTCATATGTTAAAAAAGGGGTCCGTAACTTAATGGGCTTGGTGGAAAAAGGCCATTTCCTGCATCAAGGCTTTAAACTATGACCGGTTTTGTGTATTTTCCCTCTATTGTCAAAAGCCATTGGATCTTTGGGCATAAAACTTAGGATAGCCTGAAATGACTATGGGCTTTGTAGGTAATGTAGTTTCTTTTGTGGCTGGTCCGTGATCTGGTCTTCTTGCTGTCTTAAACCCCTCTGGATTTGGCCCAAGAAAAACCCCCCTGGATTCAGTTAATGAGTTTCTTCGAGCTCCTTGGTCCTTGCACTTGATCGAATCATCGGTACATAGTGGGAGAAAGGGGTGAGGGAAGGAAAGAGAGAGCTGAGAAGCATAGAGCATTCTTGAGAAAAGTCGAAGAGATTGAAATCAGCTCCAAGAAGTGACAGCACATCGAGGTAATCTCTTCTTCTATCGCGTTACTTCTTGGGTTGTCGGCGCTATTATTAAATGATTCTTCGCCTACGTGCTCTGGTCATTCGAGTCGGGAATGCATTTCGCTCCCTTGTTTATGCTGACATTATTCAACTGTAAACATCCCGAACCAATATTTGGCAACGGAAGCTAACTCAGCCTCCTTTAGGAGTAATCAGAGACAATAACGTCAAAGATTCAAGCTCAATCTTAGATTCCTTCAGCTATTTTATTCCGTGCAAAAGTAATATTTGAGCTTCGAAATGAGACGATAATTAGCTCAATTCGATATTCCCAGAATAAATCGCGAAATATGCATTCTCAATCCCTATACTCTAACTTATCAATTTTTTCTTAGTCATACTTTTGCAGCTACTAATAAAGTTCAGTTATCATTTCTCACCTTCATTTTATCTTCTTCTTAATAGTGCTGAATGTCCTTTAATTGCTGGAAACTCAGTCCCGGCAAAAATGTTGTGTTCAAGGCTAATCAAGAGATCCCATGTCTCGCTGTATCTTAAGAATTTGCAGCAATTGTCCCCTGAATCCAGGTAATACAGTACTGTATTCAGTGATAGATTATATATATATATATATATATTTGTTTTTCATTCCTTGATTGTTGATAAAAATTTTATGGGGAAATCTTCTGAAGCTTTTTTGTAATTGAAACTGGACACATCTTCTATGCCATGCGCTAAATTTCGTGGCCTTTTGCAAAATGAACAAATGCTCTTATGCCTCTCCAACAGATGCATAAATTTCTGCTGCGCTTAGTTTTATGTATCAAATACTAGAAAATCATATCTTACTTCTTTCTATCAAGGTTTTCCCCTCCCCTGTCTTCTCGTTTTGACCAAACAAGTGAAAAGAGTTAGCATTATTTTTATGTGAGTACTTTTGATAACTTTCTTTATGATTCAGGTGCCTTTTTAATGTTACAGAAGGGTCAAGCAAGACGTTCACTAATTCTATTAATGGATTCCCGCGAAATTTATCTTGCAATATATGGCCCTCAAATTTTCTGAGGCAATTTAGTACGAAGTCTCTATATCAGATTCACCGTTCTTCAGCTTTGGTTGCAAAGAATGGGAGTAGGTCATGTGCTCTGCCTGGTTTTCGACAGTTCTCATCCTTTCATGTGTCCAGAGAACAGAAATCACGAAAGATGCTCTTATATTTAAGTGCTTTGGTTGTTGCAATGGTTGGAAGTAGTTATGCTGCAGTTCCCTTATACAGGAGATTTTGTCAAGCAACTGGCTACGGAGGCACTGTTCAGCGGCGTGAGGTTTGATTAAGGTTTTTTCCCCCTTTCAAAAAAGAGTGTCAGTTTTTCTGTCTTCTGACTACTACATTTTAATCTTATTCAGACTGTTGAAGAGAAAATTGCTCGACATGATAGAGACAATACAGTCACTACAAGGTATTGCTATGGCTTCTAAAGGTCGTTATTCTTGTTTGTCTGTTTGTTGAATTATGCATTTGAGTTTCTTGTTCAAGTTCCAACAACATTTATCATTTTGACATAGTCATCTTTATCATTTTTGACATATTCTTGTGCTCATGTAATGTGACGTCGTGATACAATTTCTTTGATCCTCCGCATTTCTTCCTTTATATTGGGATATTGTTGTAGTATTCTCTAAACTCTAGATAAATTTGAAAGCAAAGGAAAATTGGCCTGCAAATACATTATTTAGCTTTATGCTTTACTCGAAGAGAACTTTACACAAGGAATCAGCCTCTTTTAAACTGGGAGTTAAATTGCTCTTTCTGGTCTATTATGGGTTGTTACTATTGATACGTCAAAGGGGTAATGCGTGATGATCTAGTGTCAACAACCTAGGATGGTCTTTCCTTTGGCTTTTATTAATCTTTAACTATCTATATGAGATCTGCTTACGGTATTTTATTCAACATGCCTCAATTAGAACTTAGTTTTATGGCGGCTGTCTCTTTTCAAGTGTTAATGGTTTGATGAGTTGCAATTTATATCTTTTAGGGAAATTGCGGTGCAGTTCAATGCTGATGTTGCTGATGGTATGCCATGGAAGTTTACTCCTACTCAGAGAGAGGTTTTCTTTAATTAACATCTTGGAACTTCTTGCTAATATCTGTATATCCAATAAAAATTAGAATATGATATTAGTTGTTAAAATTTTCTGTTATAACATAAAAATGTTGAATTTGTTTCTATTATTAGCCTTTGATTTGAAGTTTTAACACTGGCAGTGCAACAAGGGTATAAAAGCTAATTGTGTGAGGAAACGTCCGAGATTTTATGGAAAGGGCTTATTTGTCCTAATTCAATCATTTAGGGAACAAATATGTTTCGATTATGTTTGTACCTTCTAGTTTGAGTTTGGATCCTCTGCGTTAGCCACCTGTCCTCTTATCAGAAGTTTACTAAAATTTAACTGATACCAAGTGTTAGTGTACATTGCATCATGAAGTATACAAATAAAAAAAAAAAACAAAAAAAAAAAAACAGAGAGAGAGAGAGAGAAGAAAGAAAAGTTGAAATTGTAATCTATTCATTTATTCTCTCAGGTTAGGGTCAAGCCCGGAGAAAGTGCCCTTGCATTTTATACAGCCGAAAACAAAAGCTCGACTCCAATTGTTGGCGTTTCTACATATAATGTTACTCCTATGAAGGTATTTATGAATACTTTGTTTTATGAAGACAGAATTCATGTGCTTAAATCTGCCATCTATCTATCTATCTATCTATGAAAGATGCTCTGTTCTGCATGCTTGGATTTCTTGATGGCTAGGATGACTTCTGCTTTGTTTTTGTTATTTCTCTTTTTTTTTTTTTTCCTTTTCTTTTTCCCCCTTCTGTTAGGAAAGGGGGCGGGGGGGCGCTGAATGTTGTTAGGATTTTATGAGCTTGATCTGGATCCTGGTTCTCCAGGTGAATCCTGACTCGCAAAGTGCAGTTCATAAATTAGATCAGGCTTCCGATTTTTTTTTTTTTTTGTGGGTGTGGAATGTATTCTTGGACCGGGTCTACGTCATCTTTGTAGCCTTATCCCCCCCCCTCGATGATGTTTGCTCATCAGACCTGGTTTAAGAACCTTGTAGTTTTTAAGCCTTGTTAGATGTCTTCTGTGATTCTCTTCTCTCTGGGCATTCTCATTTAGCCAAGCTTATGGAGAATCTTACCTTTAGATAATTGGTTTAATTTTATTTTTCATCTCTCGTAACTAGTTTTTCTTCTTTATTCTCTGCTTCCGCACTTCCCCAAAGTAGTCATGGAAGAAAAATGTGAAATTATGTTTTTTTTTTTTTTAAATCCAGGCTGGAGTTTACTTCAATAAAATACAATGTTTTTGCTTTGAGGAGCAGCGACTCCTTCCTGGCGAGCAGATTGACATGCCTGTAAGTGTTGCTGGACAGAAATTTGGTGTTAAAATGTTGATCATGCTTTTTGATATCATGCTGCTTTTACCGTAGGTATTCTTTTATATCGACCCGGAGTTTGAGTCAGATCCTAGAATGGATGGTATCAACAACATCATATTATCCTATACCTTCTTCAAGGTCTCAGAAGAATAAGAGCAACTCAAAGAATTGTTGCATGAAGTTATAATAGCAGCTCAAAGTCAAAGATCAAACGATGATTAGCACATTCATAACGATTAAATTATGGAAGCCTTTCTTGTCTTGTCTTGTCTCATACCAATTTTTTTAAACTTCGGTTTCAATAACAACAAAGCATGCTTACATGTTAGAGCTTATCTACAGTATTTGTATGCCACGAAAGAAAAGAAAAGTGGAAGTTTTTTAGCACATAAAGTTATTCACCCATGGAGCTGGATATTATTTCTACTTAACTCATTTATGCTTTCAATCAGGCTACTCAATTCTTGGATGGAACGTTGCCATGTTCTGATTTACAATCTCAGGCTCTAAGCTGAGCATTGGATTGAATTTTTTTTAGGAAAAAAGAACTAATACATGGGACAGCGAAAAGAATAGCTGGATGTTGATAATAATCCATTTCCTGGAAAAAATCAAGAAAGAGAGCTAGAAAATAGAACAAGTTTGAATTGATGACAAGATCAGCAAAGGCGGTGTGACTAGCGTTTTGTTCCTACGTAAGTCGAACAAAGTTAACACTGTGTGTAAGTAATGGGTGAGTGTGACTAAACTTCAATTTGAAAAAATGTTTGAAATCAATACAAGTTAAAGCCTTTTTTCCCCAGGGAGAAAGATACAAATTGGGCACATGAACATAAATTATAGTATAATATGGTGGGAAAATTAATTCGTTACTCCTTATAATTTTATCTAATTTTTAATAAGGTTTTTGTAATTTTTCTATCGAGTTCATATAATTTTCTTAATTATGCGTATTAGTGCATATCATAATTTGTTAACTAGATTGGTGTGACTGTAGATTAAACAATATGTACGTTGCTGCAAAATACAAACTTTTTTTTGAAAAATAAAATGATAGAATAAAATTATTTATTATCAACATAAAAAAATTATTATACTCATAATTGTCTCAAGTTGGCCAAAAAAAAAAACTCATAATTGTCTCCTTGAACCTATTTATAACCCGTAATTTAAATGATTTTGATTTATTTTGATCCATGTGGTATTAATCCAAGTATAAGTTGGGTGAGAGCCACGTAATTAGTTATTGATGATTTTATTGCAAATAAATTATAAAGATCAATACTCAATTAAGAAAACTATGAAAGCCTGATAAAAAAAAAAAACTACATAAAGCCGATTAAAATTCATGTAAAACTATAAGGTTATATATGTGTGTGTATTAATTTTTTAGTTATAAAATCTACGAAAATTTACAATACTTCAACTATAAATTTATCTTGGAGACAAGTGATCTTCTAATGAGCAGGTTCGGGTTTTTAATTTTTAGCTTAAGTAAGAAGTTGCGAGTTCCATCCCCTCTAAATGTAATGGCTGCACTATGAGCTTCTTTTGTTAAGATGAAAAAAACAAAATAAAAATTTCTGAGATAAGAAAAATTTGTAATAGTCAAATATGATATTGAGATAGTGATATAATCTAGATCCCTGATATAACATCTTATTTGAATTTTATTTTTGTTCTAAACATAAAACCTCAATCCACTTTGTCTTTTATATTTATGTATTTTTTTTTAATGTAATCTTTTTAATAATACTCCTCCGGTCTTTAATATAGGACCCAATTATTGAGTTGGTTTTAGTCCTAAATATAAGACCCATTTCTCATATTTATCAATAATCTCTAAATTACCCCTATGGATACTCCCTCAACCATAATCAAGTAGAAGAGGGAGAAGGGGTATTGAGAAAGATGATTATGGTGTTTTAGGAAAAACATGTCATATTTATTACAATTAACTAACTTACCTAACTTCCTTAATCTAATCAAATTAGTTAAATGAGTTTTATATTAAGGACCAGAGGAGTAATAGTTTTAGCTAATACACTTAATTAGTAAAAATATTTTAGAAAAAATAATACTTATTTATTATAAATAATTAACTCAACTTCTTTTTTAATTTATTTAAATAAGTCAACTAACTCTTGTATAGAGAACATGGAGTATTACCAAAAAGGAAAATAACAGTCAAATGCACTGGACCATCGGTTTGACTGGCCGGGTTATAACCGGGTTTCCGGTTCGGTTTTCCACCAAGTTTACTATTGGTATTTAGCCCCACTTGTCCGTCCTTCTGCTCTCCTCCCTCCCCAATCTTGGCTTCATTAGCGTCGGGGACTCCGGCTCGTGTTGTCGGGCTTCAGCTCTCTCTTTCTATCCGTGTCGAATTTATTGCTACTTGCTTGTTCCTCTCGGTGGGTGCTTTGATCCTTGTAAATTTCCTGCTATTTTGTAAAGACGTTTTTACGTGCTTTCTACGCTAATTTGCACACATCGTTTGTGGACTTTGAAACCCTAATCTCAAATTTGGAGCCAATCGCAATTTTTCATTGATTTTTTTTTTTGTATTTAAACTTCAAATTTAAATGCTTGTTGTAACACTAGGGTTCTTCAAAAATCTGACTTCGTACCTTTCATTAATCGTCAGAATCATTATTTATTGTTTTGAAGGTTTTTTTTTTTTTTTCTTTTTGGACTATGGCTTCAAATGACGTGGTTTCTTTTGATATTAACCGCCTTTCCCCGTATTGAATTGGTCATCCTATTTAACGTATATGCTTATTTATTTACAATTCATCCATAGATTGTTGCTAAAATTAATGACTTTTGGGCAAGGGGATTAATATTTTTGCCAATGATTTTTCTGAATTAAAATCAGCTGTACGCCCTCCTAATTGTTATATTTGCTCCATAAATGATTTTTTATATGCTTCATTTGGTTACTCTTTCGTTTTGGTCAACTCTTTTGTCTCTCCTTTAACCTGCATTCATGTTCAAAAATTCGATTTATTTGTCATTTGCTGTTGGAATGGGATTCTGATACTGACTTCGTATCATAGCTGTGAGCTGATATTATTTAATTTAATTGTAGGGACACATTATCTTTCATGATCCATTATGGAGATACAGAATTGTGGCAGGCCAATTGATTCCTTGATAGAGAAAGTTCTTTGTATGAATATTCTGTCCTCTGATTACTTCAAGGAACTCTACCGATTAAAAACATACCATGAAGTCATTGACGAGATTTACAATCAAGTTGATCATGTGGAGCCATGGATGACAGGGAATTGTCGTGGTCCTTCTACTTCCTTCTGTCTTCTTTACAAATTTTTCACAATGAAGCTCACTGTCAAACAAATGCACGGGCTGTTGAAACACCCTGATTCTCCTTACATTAGAGCGGTATGTGGTATTGGCCTTTTCTTCTGATGTATTTTATTGAACTTACTGAAACTTTGTGCTGTCATATTTGAGTTGCATGCTTGTGATTTATCTGTTTCTTTGATTACGCTTATATTCACCATGTATCCCGATGAAGTATACTTGATATTTTCATTATGGTCGAAGTTGAACTGCATTAATTTCCATCTTATATGCCCTTTCTCTGGATCCCAACTTCTCTTAGCATCAAAATGATGAAGCTGTGTTCTGTTGCACATTTATATAATTGGCTTCCTTTTTTTTTTGGCTTGTGTTACTGTAGGTGTGAAATTCATGTTCATGGTGCATTCAATGTTTCATCCTAAGCTGGTGTGTGCATGCTGTGTAATTCTCTGAATGTGTTTGCAGGTTGGGTTTCTCTACTTGAGATATGTTGCTGACCCCAAGACGCTGTGGAACTGGTTTGAGCCATATGTCAAAGATGAAGAGGTATGAGGGGACTCAGTTGTGATCTTTGGTTTCTTGTAGCTCTGGAAATCTCTATTGCAGTGGTATTTATTGGGGTTTTGTATGATTGTTTTGTGGAATGAATCTATTTAGACTTTAGTTTTTCTTGTATGCTTGGTGTTCATATGTGCTCCTTCTGTAGAAGGTATACATTTTTTTAAATTACGTATTTTATTGATTTATTGACTTCTCTCTCCGATGATATGTTGATGCTCAACGCATAGGCTTTTTAATTTATGCCTTTTTTTTTCCACTTAGGAGAGTGGGTTCCGGAGATTGTAGAGATGATTTTTGTGTATGCCTCAAGACAAGTAATATTACCTGAACATTACTTGTATGGATAGCTAGTTTTTTCAGGACAATTTCATGCAGCAAAGGAGCAGTACCGCTGCCTATGTCTGTAATGAATAAGTATGTAGAGAGCTCACAACCCTTTTTAATTTTTTTGAATATATTGAGGATCATTGAGGATTTCTGGTTTTTTATCGCAAGGCATTGATCTTGAAATTGAAGTGTATTATGTTTCAAAGGGATAAGTGGATGGTGGAGTCGGGTGGTGACTTGGATATCTCTCCCTTTCTTTGCTTGAAAATAAGCAGCACTAATCAGTGTGCCCTTTGATTCTTCTCATGTATGTGTTGTTCATAAATCTGGAGATGTGATATTTGACACTTGTCTTTGATTGAGTCTTGTGCTGTCTTGAATTCCACAAATAATGGACTTGTAATAAGTATTCATTGAGGTTGTAGGCTTAGAATTTAATTTGACCGATTCTACTACTTTTTTATTGATTCTATACAGAGAAAAGTATTGGGAAGGGACATTATGGAGTGTGAACCTATGATGAGAGTCACGTGGTTGGTATTAAGAAGGGATTTCTCATTTTTAACTAATTGATGGAATACAGCCGATTATAAAGGAGGGAAGACCATTCTAGCAGTGTCCTTCGAATTATAAGATCAATCAAGCATGTAAGGAGTAGGTAGTTAGAGTTGATATCTTATTTAAGTAGTGGGCCCTAAAGAAGTAATTGGATAACATGCGTACAATTATTCTTGATTTCGCATGGGAGAGAGTACAAAATGTGTATTAATTTTGCACATAGATAAAATATTGTCTAATCATGTCACTGATGTGGTTATAACTAAAATAATGGAGAACAAAAGCCAACAATATGAGAAAAAGGCTTAATGAGAACGGAGATCAGGTATATGATTATAACAGGATATTCAAATTACTGACACCGCCGAGCAGAATTTCGGTTCTGTTTTGCGCCCCGGGCTGATTTCCAGGTAGTCAATAGAATAGAAGGATGGGTGCCTAGTTTGCATTGAAGGCTTCCATTAATCAATAATTCTCCGTTTCTTGATTTTCTAGCAGGGTTGGAAGAGTTCTGTCTTGTGCTTTTGCTGGGGTTTGTGGCCCTACAGTTCAGTTTGGTAGAAGGTTGTTTTGATATGAATTGTCAGGTAAAGCAGCATTATGTGGTATCTTGAGTGTAGTACTTTATCTTATAGTTCTACATTCAGTGTTCTTTTTTGAGCGACATATTTAGCACAAAAGACTACTTAATCCATTTACCTCAAAAAAAGAAAAAAGAACTACTCAATTCATTTCGAATGATGTGGCATCTTCGTGGAATATTCTTCCAACATGGTGTTTATTAATGCGATTCTAGTCCTCAAACAGACTATACAATTCATTGCAAATGATGTAGCACGTAGATGGTAACGAGTGTTCTCTCCATGTGTGCTGCTCGTTAATTATATGTGGCCTCTGTTCATCAAATTGCAATTGTTCGTCTTTGCCTCTAGTGTACAATATGTAGCTCTTTCTGGGAAGTTAATTAGATAAAATATGATGTGGCTATGTCGTGATGATTCCATTGTTTCCACTTGTCATACTTTTCTGTTCGTACTTTACTGCTTTGATTCAAATTAAATAATGATTTTCATTTTGTTTTGGAGAATAAGTGGTAAAATTGCTTCTGTATGCCATATGCATATCATTCTTCATGTCAAGTTTGACACTATATTTCAGGAATTTTCCCCTGGATCCAATGGACGAATGACCACAATGGGTGTATATGTTCGTGACTTACTTCTTGGACAGGTCAGTTACCACTAAATCTATCACACTATTTTACCTGGGTGTGCTTCCTAGTTTTTCTGTTTCTGGCACGCGCTTTCTTCTTGATTGTAGAATTAAATCATCAAACGATATTTGCAAAGCATACCCTGACCACTTGATAATGATATTGTTAGTAGCAAGGTAAAATTTCATGCGATTCAGCTGTTAACTAGTTAAACTGAGATTTCTGTTTCAGAACTCTCCTTCCACTACCAGATACATCACAGCATTAAAAATGGAGATTCGTTTCTTATCATCACATACTTGGAGTTACTGTTCTGTGAGGTGCTTTCAGTATCTTCTATGCTTACAAATGGGGATATAGTTTATTGACTGCTAATGTCTGCTGATCTGCTCCTGTAGAGTTTTCTTAAGAAAGAACATGTATAAGAACCTGGTGATTCACTTATTTTATAAATCTTGCTTTTTATATAACGATGGTTGATGGATTCTAAAGAGAGTTCGAATGCTTCTAGTATGCTGCAGTCTCTGATTACTGCCATAAATGCTATTTTTAAAGGGAATTTCTGTATCCAGTTCTTTTTATTGGTGTTATCATGTGTAACTATGGTGCAAATACTAATTTTTTTTTTTTGGGGTCCCATACTGTGTAGTTCTTCCATCTTCATGAGTTCCTAACAAAGCAAGGAAATTCGAAAAAGGGGCATGCTGTGTCGGGCACAGGTCAGACACCTGTATCGAGCACAATATGACATTAATACAGAGCCCCTATAAATATATGAACAACGAGAATTTTATGGTGGTGTTTTGCCTGAGTCCTTGTTTTCTAAACTAGGCTTCTTGTACGTTTAATGTTTCTTATTTGTTAAAATGTTAAATGCTTATTATCTCCTTTTACTTGGTTTTTATATTTGTGGATGCTTATTTTTTATTTTTCATGGTTTTGGGCTTTTTTGTTTCCGTCACTTAATTGTGCCCTCACTTTATCCTTATTGACTAGCATAACCAAATATTTTGGGACCACGCTTCTATAGCACATCGTTTTGATTCCTGAGGAAATGCATTGATGAGCATGTTCTGCTTTTGTGTCATGCAGTATTACTTTGACACCCTGTTTCCACGAATCCCCGTTCCTGTGATGAGGCAAGTTGTGGCTAATCTTGAGAAGCTGAAGCTCCCCACCAAACACTCTGGTTCAACAGGGGAATCCACTCGTCATGGTTCTGATGACACTGCCAGACGACCGCCTTCTGTGAAAGCTTCCCTTTCGGTCTCATTTGGTCAGCGCGCTCCGCATCGTGCTTCAACTAGGGACTCATCACCAGTCCGCCGCACTGTATCTCATCATGAAAGAAATGGCAGTGATGATCCACGGAAATCTCCAAGAAGCGGCAGTCGCAGCCAGAGCCATGGATATTCTAACAAGGATTCAAATCGAGAAAGGGAAACATTTGGAGATCAGTCCCGAGCTAGGGACAGGGATTGGGATCATTATAGGGGTAGGGACAGGGACTATAAATCAGAGAGGGGCAGAGACCGAGACTATGAGAGAGACCGTGGTGCATACAGGGACCGGGATAGGGACAGAAGGGATAGGCATTGGGAAAGAGATAGAAGGGATAGGGAAAGAGAGAGCGAGCTTGATTATGATTATGATAGGAGATCTAAGTATGCAGAGAGAGGTAGCAGCCGGGTTGACAACCATAACTATCGTAGTAGGAGTAGGAGTCGAAGTAGGAGCAGGAGTCAAAGCCTGCAAGCTGGTGGTCCTCAATCTGAATATGGTATCAAGGAGAAGCCATCTACATCAGGCAATCTGGCAAAACTTAAGGATATCTATGGTGATGGAAACAATAGTAAAGGAGATTCCAACATGGAAAGAATCTCTAGCAGGGTTAATGACGGCGAAGAGGTTATTAGACTCGGTGGCTCTACCTGGAAGTATTGAATGATTTCCGCATGTTGAATGCTGGATAACCTGGTTTCTCTGAACCCAACAGTTTGGATCTTTCTCTCGTGTTTCCTGCCTTGACAAAATTTATACATTCACAAATGCTTTGAACAATATTACAGGGATGTGTTGTGTAATGCTAGAATTTTATTGCAGAATTTTCTGTACCTTGCAAGGGGAAAGCTTTCCTTGGAGCTTGAAACTGAGGTGTTCTCATATATTACCTCGGGGTTTTTTTAACTGCCTTGCTCCCTTGTCTCTGAGCTAAACGTTTTTGTTTTTGGGAAATATAATGACTTGTACTTTGTATTGATTTTTCCGGCGGCTGTTGAAGGATTATGGGCGGTTGCTGTTGGCGCGTATTAAGAAGATCATATTCTTTCTTGTAAACATGATAAATATGAATTTAAAAAAAGGGCAAAAGTGCTATGCGAGTTATTTTTGTTGACAGATAATCAACGGGGATTTTTCACCTGTAGATAAACAAGGTATTGCAAGATTTTACTTCATGTCATCAAGATTCTTGAGTCAGTCTGTTGTGCTGGGAAATCTGGTCCTATTATTAGACTCTCATTCTAAAGTATTGGGACATGGTTCCTACACTTTATCGACTCCCAACCCAAGATCATGATGGATCCTATGAGTAACAATAAACATACACCTTGAGCCCCTTAAGATTCTGCCAGCGTCACAAAAAATAATGTACAAGAACCCGTTCCCGCGAGGTGCTGATTAGTTCCAATTAGCTCCGACTATTCACACTTGATGGATCGATATATGTGACGTACAAAGAGACTATAGCAAACGCAAGCCATGTAGCCGAAGTAGAAAGATGTCTGCATAAAGCCAGACATATCTGATCTTGCATAGTAGAAATAAAAGCAGTAACCATATATGAAGAAGCCGACTGATCCACCATAAAGGAAAGACCTAAGGTTCATGGCAAATACACAGTAGTTAGTCTCCCTCGAAATTGAAGAAATAAGACCATTATCTTTAAATTTAAATTATTTGTATTTTCCTTTGGTTGCTAATGAGAACGCAACTTTGGTCTGTCATCTTACGATATAAGTGATATTATGCTTATAATGGTGATTTCAGGCAATCATAGAGTGATATATTAATTTTACGTTTTAAAGTTGGATAATCATCTACTTTCATAAAATTCATAATCTTGGAATAATGTTGCTTTTTCATAAAGATTTAAGAGGATATTATTTCGCATAATAATTGTACATCTACATAGACCGTAGTTTTATGGTGCTTTTTCAAGGCACTGACATGAAACAATGTTACATTGGGCAATGAACCAATAGAGTTCAACCAAAATGGGATTGTTATCGGACTCTCCACTGAAAACATCTACAGAATCTTCAATATTGGCTCCTAATATAGATCTTCTAGTGCCAGAACTGTATCTAACAATTATGAATCGTTCTTTGTATAAAGCTCAAAACACTGCTCTAATTTTTCAGAACTTTTATCTCACTTTTCAATGAGGCGTCTAGAGAATTTTCCATTTCATTATGGTTATTCCATCTCAGCAAAAGTTTCAGCTAGCACTGCATGGAACTTAAAGTGCCATTGAGCACTTCGATGTTCAAGTTTTACTGCTAGTGGTAACGGTACAATTTTAAGTTGAATAAAGCTAGCCTCAATGTCTACCCTAAATTGTAATGAACGAAGAAAGAGCAAGAGAATTTAATGTGACAGGCCACGTACCTCCATCACCATTCATGATCCTCGACAGCAAGCTGTAAGTATGTCAATGCCACAGTGTTGAAAGCAGTGACAATCAAGAGAATGATGAAAATAATAAACAGAATGCTGTATACGATGTAAATGTGGTGACCCCACAGGCTAGCGAATATGTTGTAGAGCTCAATGTAAATAGCACTGAAAGACACAAAACCAGCTGTAGCCATTTGAGCAAAGGCTCTACGGTACCATGGTAGCTGAGGGATCTCCCTGGGATACTTGGAGGTGCGATAAGGAGCTTAAAACTCTGATCTGCTATTCTTCCCAGCAATCCCGCCCAATAGTAACAAAGGTGAGGTTACAAGAGTCCATATGAGGAAAATAACAACAATTGTTCCAAATGGCAGTGCTGCAGTGGAGTTATAGGCAAGTGCAACAGTGTTTAGGAAGCAGAACGTCAGAAACAAAGGCCCAGAGAATAGGCTTCCAGTCAATATCAAAGTTTTCACCTGGAAAAACCACATTATCAGTTAGCATACTTCGTTAAACTTTGTACTTTATGTAGTATAGTTTCATTTCTTTGAAAGAAAGAATTTGACAGATGAGAGAAGAAACTGAAACAAGAACTAAATATTGTTTGGTGACAGTTTCTACTATGAAGACACAAACAACTAGAATGAGAAACACATATATTATCCAGGATATAGAGATATTTATGGCATTTGATTCCCACGGAGAATGATTTCCACTATGTCTCGGGCCTCTCTTGCATAAGTTTACATTAATGAGAACCGAATGAAGAAGGTTGGAGCATCAATAACATCTTGTCTAAGGAGAAGAAATGAACCCAGTTCTTCCCTTCGATCATATAATAGAAGGAAACTGCAGAGTAGCCTGCAGTTCCAGATGTTAGCTTGTATATGGTAATAAGTGCAGTAAACAGAGCGCCCCTGTTGTATGGATAGAACGCACCAACTAGTGCAAGCATAAAGGCGAAGATTGCACTGAAATCAGGAGCAAAGATTCATGGTTATAAAGAGAGATGAACAACATTAGGCAAAAACAAAAAAAGAGCCTTTTAAAGAGAAGCTACTTAAGGGAGATACTAACAGAACAAATAGCTGAGTGCCAGCTCCAAGCGCTGCTGCAAACAAGGACTTGCATCTTGGGTACCTGAACACATCGCCACGAATATATTTCCAACCACTCTTCTTGTTGATCATCTGCCTCCTCATTATCGGTTAACCTGTCATGTTTGATATAATAATAACCAAAAGTTTTCAAGGCTTGCAAAGAAATTAGCCAGTGGAAATGATTCTTACTTCACAAAACCATTCTTGAGCATGCGCATGAGAATTGTAGCAAGAAGTCCAGTCAAGAACATAACGGTAAAACATGAATTAATAATTGTAAGCCAATGGATTTCCAGGTGCTTTTTCAGCAAGGATGTCTGTGAGTATTTCTCCAACTGCTTCTCAAATGGAATGTCAGTTTCAATCCATATGACCGAATAAGAGAAGTCTATATCTATTTCTTTATCCCCTGTCAAGTCCACCATTGTATTTGGGTCATTTTGAACGGCAATATCAATGATACGATCCTCATTGTAAAAGATCTCAAATTTGAGATGCTTAAACAGAGAAGCTTTAGGTCCAGTTAGATCAACTTCGGCTTCACTGTCAAATCTTCCAACGGAACCCCAGATGGGCAAGTCATCCAAGTACATTTGGAAAAAATAATCCTTCAAAACAGCAGTTCTGAATTTGGCAACCGCTTCTCTTTCGAGCCTCTTTGTGCAGATAATTTCAGGTTCTCTATGAATTAAGAAGTTGATTTTATATGGAGCAGCAACTAGTCGATCTCCATTCAAAATTTCACCAAGTGTTTCTTTCTTTTCTTCCACTTCAACTGCAACATACAACATCAATTACTAAGTACCAAAGCAGAGAAGTGAGAACAAGAATCATACCAACAAACTGACCTGGTGAACAAAAAGGCAGGTCATAGTATCGGTATGTTTCACTGCAGCATAAAAAACAAAGGAAACACAAGAATTATGAAACCCGGACTATCGTGAACAAGCTATAAAAATCATTGCTTAGATAACAAAGTTTGCTAAGCATTATCAAACTCGGACTATTGAGTGACCATGAAGGTTAATTGTTTGACTTCACATTTTTTATACACTGAAATCCATCTAATATGCTAATTCAAAATTCTGCATCCAGCAATCTTAATTAATGTTAACGCGTTTCGTAATCTCAGAAGGAAGAAAACCACCAAGCCAATTGTAATGGCATTTGAAAAGAAATCATTCAGAAGCCAGAAGGTCAGAACAATTGAGTCACTTGGGATTTTCTGAATTATTTCAAGTACACACTGCCTACTGTTTTAAATTGCAACGGAAATTAAAGCACAGAAAAACACAGACGTGACATCAGCCACCTTTTTATAGTTGAATAAAAAGTTTGCAATTTGCACAATATAAAATTGGAGCGTCGAAATTCCGTTTGTTTCCTCCTTAACCACCTTGCAGGTTGCAGCATTCATTTCGTTCATCAGTCAAATATTTAGCAAGCTTTTGGTTGTTTTAATGGATACTACTAAATTCTTTAAAAAAAATCAGAATGCTACTATCCAAACTCAGCAATTGATGATGCGAAGTGAGGATTAAATCATTATTAACTGAAAAATATCAAGATAATCATATTTCAGAGGATAGCGATTGGAAAGAATCTGACATTCTTGAATCTTGGATGAATAATAGCAAAGCCAAGATTTCCTTAGAATTAGGATTGATTTGAAAGGTTTTTTCCCCAGAGTAGATGAAATTATGAACGAGCGAGGTGGAACTGGAGAATGAAGAGCGATGGAACAACGTTACCTAGGATTGTAGGATGGTCCCACCTTGTTGGCGTAAAAAGGAATGGAATCTCCTCTTTTGAAGCGATGATCAGAAGCGTCGGACTTGATGAGGCTTAGAAAGCTGAGGACGATAATGGCGGCAAGCAAAGACGCCATTGTCCTGCCCATAGTTGCAGACGAAGATACAGAGAGAGAACAGAGTGGCGTTGAGCGCCAGAAATGTGCATGAAAATGGCGGGAATACAACAGAACCCTCCCAGCGTCTTCTTTCGCCCAAATAAATAAATAAAGGAAAATTTGACTCTGAACTTTTTTTTCCCCTGGAAATAAATATTACTCCTCCGGTCTTTAATATAAGACCCATTTAACTAATTTGATTAGATTAAAAAAGTTAGGTAAGTTAGTTAATTATAAGAAATGTAACACGTTTTTCCTAAAATACCATAATCATCTTTTTTAATACCTCATTTTCCTCTTCTACTTGATTATGGTTGAAGAAGTATCCATAGCGATAATTTAGAGAAAATTGATAAATATGAGAAATGGGTCTTATATTTAGGACCAAAACTAACTCACCAATTGGGTCCTATATTAAGGACCGGAGGAGTATATTTTATTGAAAATAATTTTGTTTGCTGCTTACCTCAGGTCCTAATTATAAGAGCTATTTGATTAATTTGAGGAGATTAAGGAAGTAAGTTGAGTTAGTTATTTATCCTAAATAGGTGTTTTTTTTTAAATATCCTTGCTAATCAAGTGTATTGACTAAAACTATAATTATTAGAAGCCTTATCTTAGAAAAAAATTATGTAAATATGAGAGATGAAGTAAATTTGGGTCTTATATTTAGGACCAAAATAAAAGTCAAATATGGTTTTATATTAAAGACCGATGGTAGTACTTATTTTTAATTAATGTAATAATGCAATTGAGTTCTAGAGGCCCCCGTGGCAAAAATTGACAATTCTAATATTTAGGCCTGACACTTGTTGCTAGAATTATTAAGAAAAACCACCATAGCCAAAAAAAAAGAAGAAGAAGAAGCAATTTTTTTTTTAAATCTTATAATAAATAAATGACAAATTCCTTTTTATTTTCACTAATAACAAATTTCAGTATTTCTTGTCATTAGAATTTTTGATGATGATATCTTTTTTTATCATCACAATGATTTCCAATGTTATTAATATAATAGGGAAATTTTTAATTAAGGATCACTATGACAAATTTATTTCAAATAGCCCTCAAAATAATCTGAAATTTCATTGTAAGACTGAGGGGAAAATGAAATTAATTGGACATAGAAAAAGACAGAAATGTCCCTATTAACTATTGCCCGTGAAATCTGAAAAGAAATGGCCAAAAATTAGGAAAATTTTTCATCTCACTCTGAAATCTGACTTGCATACTCTTCCTTTTCGCACTCTTAGAACTTGCCGTACCTATGCTGGTTGTGGCACTTTGAAAAGTTGTGAAAGTCATCCAAAGGAGATTCATCGTCGTCCGTTGTGCTGGTTCTGTCCCTCTCAAAACTCACATATGAATTTATTATTAGGCTTGAACGGATTTGTTATTTCTCAAATATGGAAAGTTTCTGTTATGTGAGATACTTGATTGTTGTTTGTTATAATAATAATGGGTATCTTGTCTGGCATATTTATAAATATGAAAATCTTGCTGTTCAAATGGGTGATATGAAAGCTAAGTATGTAGAGAAATGATAATTTGATGATGTCAAAATATATATTTGTATTGTAAATTTGCAAATTCAAGTTGGCTAAGGAAATGGCAATTTGGTGTTGTGAAAACTTGTATTTCTATTGTCAATTTGTAAATTCCTGTTATAAACATATACGGTTAGGATATTGATAACAACAATTAGTGTATTAACAAGTAGAGTTAATAATTTCATAGCATGATGTTCTAAAATTTTGTCTATCATAAGCAAGGATGGTGCAGGAATATAGACCATGGCAAGTGGAGAAACATCTTAAGCTAAGTACTCCTAGAACACTTAGGCTGCAATTTGGATGAATATGAATACATTTTTACACCTATTTTATTTGTGATGTGTTAGTTTTGTTGTGACAGTTATCGGATTCATGTCATTACATATTTAAAAGAGTGACTCCACGTGAAAGAAAAGGATGGAGTTGAATTCACCATGTCTTATTATACAATAGTGGGAGTTAAATTATATGTTTATGACTTCATTCATTATTTTGAGTTATGATTGTTGCACCTATGTCAACTTATTGACTGTAGTTATTGTTGTGTCACAGGATCTACATACTTTACGAAAGTTTAAGTTGTTGTGGTGGCTTATGACATAAAAAAAATAAAATGAAATCAGCTGCTATTGTGAAACTATTTTAACAGATAAAGACGCAATCGAAAAGAAAGTGATGATATAGCAAATTGTTATATTTTTTATTCGACATGTAATTTCAGCTACTTGAGACAGTTGTGTATGGAGATCCTTTTCAGGAAGTATATTATGAGTATGTTGCATATCAATGAATTGTAATTTTCAGTCTTTTCCTATCAATTTACAAGTATGTGATGTATTGTTGATAATTGGAATTATGGAATCTACAACAAGGATAAGTTGATTCAATAAAGAAACTCATCTTACAAATGGGCTAATGTAACTAAAAAGTTGAGCATACTAATATAACAAGTCTGGAGAGATTATTTACAAGTGAAATTAAGCAATTTGCAAGACGGATATGCATATTAACAACAAGAACTCATCTATTTACAAGTAAACTAATATGATTAAAAAAAGTTAGATATGTTGATTCACAAGTCTAGGAAGACCTATTTGCAGGTAGGATTAGAAAATTTGCAACACGCATACATATATTAACAACAACAATAACATGTCTATTTGCAAGTGAGGTAGTTGAATTGACGAAATTAAGCATGATTCACAAGTCTGAGAGGACCTATTTGTAATTGGAACAACAATAACAACATGTCCATTTGCAAGTGAAGTAGTTGAATTGAATAAATTGAACATGATTTACAAGTCCAAATTAAAAGAACCTATTTGCAACTGGAATTAGAGAATTTGCAACACATATAGGTATGTTACCAACTACATCTCCTCCATTCACAAGGAAAGTATTTAAAATAAAAAATTCATATACAAGTCTGGATGTTTCATGCAGAAATTTGGATGTTTCATTTACAACTGGAATTAGGCAATTTACAATAAGAATACATGTACTAACAATAGAAATATGTCCATTAGACAAAGTTTGTCATACATTTATATTGTTGCCAGCCAATTTTAGTACTAATTGTCAAGTGCCATCATGAAAATTTTCAACTATCACATCCACATACAACATAGATTCCAACCCACTATCAAAAATACTAAATGGGTTGTTATAGTTACTTCCCTAACTAATCCAAAAATACATATTGGGGTTCATTCAGTACAAAAATAGCTGTATATTAAACTAAAAAAAAGACTATCTTTAGTAATAAAATCACAAAAGGTTCGGGTTACTGTAAGTCTTTCTAGTGTGACCATACGACAACCTTGAGTAAGGATATACTTTTTTCTATTGAAATTGTGATTTAATCCTCTTAGTTCTAGGCCTTCCAAGATGGAGAGTAGTCAATGGTGGTTGTAAGTTCTTCACAAATTCACCTCCCACATGGAAGATGCGAAATAATTGTTTTTCACTACTGCTAACGATTTATAATCTGTAGCTGCACATAATTCAAGTATCAATTTCAATCAACTTTTAATAACTAAACACAATATATATTTACAAATTTTCAATAGAAATACAAGTTTTCACAACATCAAATTGCCATTTTTTTAGACAACTTGAATCTGTGAATTTATAATACAAATAAATATTTCGACAACATCAAATTATCATTTCTCTACATATTTAGCTTCATATCACCCATTCAAGCAACAAGATTCTGAGATTTATAAATATGCCAGACAAGATATCCACTATTACTATAACAATCAATAATTAAGTATCTTACAGAATAAAGACTTTCCATATTCGAGAAATGACAGATCGATTCAAGCCTAATAACATATCTACGTATGAGTTTTGAGGATGAGTGAATCGGCAAAATAGACGATGATGAATCTCCTATGGACGACTTTAGTGACTTTTCAGAGTGCCACAACCAGTGGATGAATAGCTAGTTCTAACAGTGTGAAAGGGAAGAGTATTTGAGCAAGATTTTAGAGTGAAAAAGGGAAGAGTGAGATGAAATTTTTTCTTAATTTTTGGCCCTCTTCTTTTTAGATTTCAGGAGCAACATTTTACAGGGGTATTTCTGTCTTTTTTTGTCTAATTAATTTCACTTTTCCCCCTTAGTCTTATAGTGAAATTTCAGAATGTTTTGGAGACTAATTGAAATAAATTTGCCACAGTGGTTCTTAATTGAAATTTTCCCTTAATAAATTTTTGATAATATATTAAAAAACATGATAAGCTGATTTTTTTTTTTTGCCAAACTGTTGACATCGTCATCACATTCTGTTATATGATTAATTATAATTATATTTTAATTGAAAATTTTGGTTGCAATGATATTAGCAACTCCATACTCCATACTCCATACTCCATATAATTCTGTTCTTCTATAGCATATTAAATCTTGGATAACTATTCACGCACCATAATCTCCACCCCCCCCCCCCAAAAAAAAACAGTTTCAAAGCAGAAAAAAGAGAATAATTCCCTTATTAGTTATTACATACAACTAACTATTCCTCCTATTTTCAAACATTCACGTTAAATCATTTTCTGGAAATGAATCCAAGTGAGATGAATATTCTCACTTCATCCCTTGGTTCTAACAATGGTGATAGATCCTGTACCCTGTGTATGAATCCTAGTAAGAGCCACCACTGCTTTTCCTGAAATCCCAAAACCGCGATCAGAATCGCATGGAACACGCACCCGATCTCTCACTGGATGCGGAATCGGCTTCGCTGGGCTCATTCGCATCTGCTGATTTATGTCTTCAAGCACTGTTTCTCCATCTGCCCCTCCTCGTTTCACCATCTCGAACGGGTAAGCAATTCGCTTCTTCTGACCCTCTGGAATCCATAACACATCAAAACCAAGCTGCAAAATGAACCATTGCACTTCGAAAGAAGCTGTGTGGAAGGAAAAAAAAGTGAACCATTGTACTTCGAAAGAAGCTGTGTGGAAGAAAAAAAGTTAATGAAGCAGAGAGTTAATGACTGAGTTAGTCATGTCCCTTTTGTTTTTGAAGAAAAGTGTGTGTGTAATACTTGAAACTGAAGTATCGTTTTCGTCTGATTTTATAGATGCCTTAATCTTCTCAGGATTATCTTCCTGTGTTGAAGCTGCATGCGTGTCTTTTGGTGATGATGATTGGCTCCCAGTGCTGAATTTTTCATTTTCTGGAATGGTGTAATCTGCAGGTGGGACTGAAGTATGTAATTATCAGTTACTGACTGCGATAGTACCAAAAGCAACGGTAGTGGGCAGTGTACTGTCATTATCCTTGCAACCCGAATGAGTAAGATACTGATGGGTTAATATTCAAATGCTTGGTTGAAAACTTACTTCGAATAATAGACTCTACTGCTAGGACAAATCTTACTTAAGTATTTTAAGCAGTTTTTGATTTTATCTACGATTTTGTTTAATAAAATATAACGGGTGAACGATTTTTATTGCTCAGCATTAACATCCTCCTGTTGACTCAACAAAAGAATCCACTTGTCATGCTTTTATTAAAAATCCCGATGACAAATGCCAAAAAAAATTGCGTCTAACTTTTATCTTTTATCTGATTAATAAGCTTAATGGCTACAAAAATCCTGCCCATCACCTGGAGCACAGGATCAGAGAATAGGAAGGAATAGGATAATAAACATTGAGATGGAGTTAGAGAAGGTGTGCATGCATTGGCCAAAAGAAAAACAAAAGAAGAGAAATGAAGCATGGCTTACCATCAACCAGGCGTTGGGTTCTTGTGGAAGAACATGGTGGAAATATGTCTATCTGGTCTGCCAGACAATGGGTTTCCTTTCATAGATGAAAACATAATTAGAGTTTCAAGAACTTGACAACTAGTGATTGTTGAAGGGAACATGAAACGTGTCTATAATTATAAATTGACCTTTTGATCCTGAGACAGAGAGTACAATGGTAAATTTTGTTGCTTGTACCAAACACTCCAGCCTGCAATAACATCTTCAAGGTACCCAGTAGATCTATCAGATGAAAACCAGGACTCTGCTTCAGCAACAAGATAAAGAGAGGGTAAAAACAGTAAAATGTCAGCTAGTGGTATGCATGCAAACAAGTTAAAGCTAGAAAAGTAGAAATCAAAGTGGAAGGGGAACTGAAAACATAACGTATGTACCAAGAGGTGTATCTGAACTAGTGACTCCAATCTCCAAGTCCATGGAGGCAAGAGAGTGAGAACACAAGCTGTGTTGGGTATGAATTATGACATAGAAGAAAGCCCTTTTTATATGTAGGGTTGAAGACTCACTTATGAACAAATAGCTATTTTTATCTGTTTCACTTTATGGCTTAAGGAATATGCTGCAATGGACCCTTCTAAAATCCTGATGTTACCTACCTACCTAATTGACATTAATTAAAGCGTTCATTATTGATTATGCAATGTGAATAGAAGTTGATTTAAATTTTTGTCTAGGTGCGCTGGGGAAGGTTTTTTATTCTTTCGGGAAATGAAAACAGGCTCTTTTGTTCTCTTCTCAAAACATGCATTATTATCCAGAGGGATGCTAGTACAAGACAAGAATGACATGATTAGGTTAAAGGATATCTCACTCTGATGGTCTCTGTGAGACTCATGTCTCTTTGTCTGTGTCTCTATTTGATCGCAGAGAGAGAGAAAGCTACAGCAAGAAAGACAGGGGTCTTGTTTTATCTTTGATTTTTCTTTTTCTCCTTTTTTGTTTTAAGCATTTCATGGATGTAAAACATTTGGGACATTTTATCTTTATAAAACCAGAAAGAAGTTTAAGCCAGAAGGCAATTATTGTTTGCAATTGGCTACATGATGTTGAATATAATCATAACAACTAACGAAAGTGGACAGTAGATGGTTATTCTAAATTTAAATGAGCTTTTCTTTTTCTTTATATATTTTTCTTCCATGGTAAATATTCAAAGCATGAATATCTTTTCCTCATGGGTTATATTTCATTTTCTATGATACTTTTCTTTATGCTCTTGTCCTCTGCTAGACAAGGACAAAAGGAGAAGATACCCAGTACTTTAACTTTTCTAGCTCATCATACTTCAGCCTTGATTTCTGTGAGCTTCCTTTACCATTTTGTTTGTTTTACCCATTAAATTAGTAGCTACGCTAGTAAGAAAAAGTAAAAACCATTGTCTTTCCTGATGACCTATCTCACACAATGAATATCTTTGCTTATGAAGGAATTAAGCTTGAGCTAACATGAATAGTCTCTTGGCATCAACTTGACTCTGACGACAATGACAAATGGAAACCCAAAAAACAAAAAATAGAATAAGTAGCTGAGGGAGTTAATATCAATTTAAAACTTTGGCAGACTCTACATCAATGAACAAAGAAGCACTAATTGTTGTTTGATTGGCTATTATTCTCTTTCCTTCTTTTACTTTTAATTTTGCCTCTTTAATAATTAGAAAATAATATGAATAAATGTTGCCAAATATTTCAGCCACCCTATGATTACTTTGTTACTTCAGCCTTGCCTATATGAGAGCCATAAAGCCAGAAATTTTGTCCTAAACATCCCCCGGCCCCCCCCCCGGGGGTGAATTCTCTCTGTAGAACGACTCGAAGCATATTAAGCGTTTTTCTCAGACAGCATCTGAGTTTAAACATTTTCAATGAAATAAAATACAGAATGAAAATAACTTTTAATTGTTGACATTAAAGAAACGAGTATAAAAATTAGAAATTAAATTAAAATTTAACACAAATGGAGTGCTTCTTTGTTTCTGTCTAAATCACGTGGTTTCCTGTTTGTGGCAGAAGAAGGACTTGGTCCATGAAGCATCATATACTCTGTGTCTCTTTTATACAGCACTAACTTGAGGCCACGGAAGGGAAGCAGTGCTTGTGAAGTACCACCATGGAGTTTGTTGTTCATGAAGCTGTCAGAAATAATTATCTATCTCTGAAAGTAAAGTAGAAATTAAAAAGAGAAATCCCAATTACAAGAGCCTTTCTGCTTTTTTTTTTTTTTTTACTGAACACTAGAAAACCAGACCCTACAAATATTTGCTATCATTTACATAGACGAAGGGTTTATGTCGTTTTTTTGGGGTTAATTTTACGTAAACTAAGCAAAATTACGGCAGGCATTTTTTGTTTTTGTTTTTTTTGTTTTTAGCAGATCAAAAACATACATCACAATAGGCTTGCTTTAACGTCGCAAGCTTTGAAGGAAGAAGGAATGTGCTTTAGGGATTAAAAGGAAAGAAAACGAGTCCAATATAATTAGCCAAAAAGTAACAAAAGAATCCAAAAATGAATTTCATGGGAATATAATGCGTCTTTATGAGGGACAGGTCCATATTCACTTTGTCCAAAAAAAATCTTGCAATGTAACACACGTGAAAAATGTAATATGATTTTATTTAATTTGAAACCCTTCCTATTATATATCTAAGGCTGGAGCCTTATAAGTTACTACCTCCGGTCTTAATATAAGACCTTGTCTGATTTTTATTTTGTCCTAAATATAAGACCCCAATCACTTTGTCTTTCATATTTATACATTTTTTTCCAAAGTAGCCTTCTAAAAATGATAGCTCTAGTCAATACACTTGATTAGTAAGGATATTTTAAGAAAAACAACACATATTTAGGACAAATAACTAACTCAACTTATTTCCTTAATCTCCTCAAATTAATCAACTGGCTCTTATAATTAGGACCGGAGGTATTATAACATAACTCATGGTACGGAAAAACATACGTTAATTCAATTGATTAAGGACTTATTTAGGATGGTAATTGGAGTTTTTAAAAGTAACTTTTCAATTATAATTTACATTGAAATAAGTATGTGAGAAAAATTCTTTCTTTCAATTTTTGAAGTGTCCTTGACTTCCATGAACGTACTTATAATGAGTAGCTAGTAAATTGTTTCTTATAAATATGAACAGAGGGAGAATAATATATAGTTCATGAAAAAGAACTGCAAAAAGAAATTATGCTCACCTGAGTTTTTCAGTTAGTTTTGGTCTTAAACACTACCTTATAAAGCATTTTATAATCTAATTAATAATATTCTTAATCTACCTCAAAATTGAATCATAATTTTGCAGTATAATCTCAACTTCTGTTAACGTGATTGGCAAGACATTCAACTTAGATTAACGCGATCAGTAAGAACTTTCACACAAGTTTTACAAGTAGGACTCTTATAAATATAATTTAAACAAATAGTTAATTATGAAATCAACTTTTAACCATCATATATTAAAAAACTCAATTTATATGAGGGTCTACATCGTATTCTCAGCATTTTGACAGATATTAATTTTTTTAATCATTGGTATCTTTGTGCGTAGCAAGTAGTTATTATTTTATATGACGTATTTTTTCTTGGGTACAAAACTAGAATCCTCTTTGATCATGAGCATCTCTTGACAGGTATAGGCATTAGCTAGTTTATTATCTGTGGATTTCTACGTTAGAAAGTTGTTGTTTAGCTGTATCGCATCAGCCGAATAGTTCGCAGTTGTCTGCTCAAAGTTCCCGGTTTCCTGTTCCCACCATGTTTAACAGTTAAGAGCTTGTTCATATTAACAGCGGTAAAAATGACTTTTATATCAGTGAATTTTTGCAAACTGAAATTGAGAAAAAAATGTCTTGTATACACACACACACACATGTATATATAGAGAGGGGGAGAGAGAATTTAAAACCCCTCCCCCACAAGGGAGCCGATTAAGCGACAAGTTCTTTGACACCGTTCCAAACATGCCCTCACTCTTATCTTTAAGGAATAAAATTGACTATACACAGCTCATCATATTCCACAAAAATTCTTTTTTTTTCCACTATTCTTTATCCATCTTTTCAACTGCATAGCACCAAAATATTCTCCGACCCAGAGGATTTCGAAACCAGCCGCAAAGTCGCCAAACAACTCAATACAGAATAAACATAAAAGCAAATAAACACCATTATAAAAGAAACACAAGACCTGGGAACTTGTTAAGATCAGCATCGATGGCAAAGACACGTACCGTTGGTGTAGCTGTGGACTTCTCTCCGACCAGCAAATCAGCCCTCAAATGGGCTCTCCATAATCTCACCGACAAAGGGGATCGCCTCATCCTCATCAACGTTCAGCCTTCCCACTCTGATCACACTAGGAAAGACCTTTTCCACGACACTGGTTCACGTATATACGTCTCTCTTGTCCATTCATGCTTATATATAACTTCAGTTCAGGTTTTTTGATATATAAATATACAAGTATGTATATATGTATGCATGGGTCTTGCAGCTTTGGTGCCTTTGGAGGAACTGAGAGAGACCAACTTGGTGAAGCAATATGGGATTCCTAGGGACCCGGAAGTGATGGCTATCCTTGACACTGGCTCAAAAACCAGAGGGGTATATATCTGTGTGTAGATTTTGTTTGTTTGCTTATTATTGCTTGCTGTGTTATTCGGCAATTTTATTTCTCTCGTATGAATTGAAAGGTTATTTAATAGTTTATGAATTATGAAGAAGCGGTATTGGTGTGTGCTTGTGAATATGTGTAACAGGCAAAGGTAGAGGCAAAGGTATATTGGGGGATCCAAAAGAGAAGCTGTGCAAAGCTGTTAATCAGCTACAACTTGACTCTTTGGTCGTTGGAAGTAGGGGTTTTGGTCCCATCAAAAGGCAACACACTTTCTTCTCTCTTTATATTTTAAATTATAGTACTACCTATCTCCACTCTTTATTATAAGAATTAGTTGAATCATTGGATTTAGTTTTAAATATAAAATCTCAATTTATTTTGTTTTTTATGTTTATCATTTTTTTCAAAACTAATAACTTATCACATTTATTATAATTAACTAATTTATTTGACTTAATAATCTATTCAAATTAGTTAAATAGTTTTCATACCAAAGATTGAAATTATTGATGATGATGATGATAGGGTGTTGCTAGGGAGTGTAAGCAATCATGTGGTGAGAAATGCTTCTTGCCCCGTTACAGTCATCAAGGGAAGCCCATCTGCCAAGTGTAGCCGTTGAAACTTCTATTTAGAATATCATTCTAATTTTTGCCACTCTCGTTGTGACTAATAGTGTTTGTTAAATAATGTTTCCTTTCTTTATATATATGTATGTATAAATGGTGTGAGTCTTAGCGTGTAAATATTTCTTATTTATATATTTATAATGCCAGATTGTCGCTGTTTTTACATGTTATATTGCTTCCACTCTAACTAAGACCA